AGCTCTGCAGCCTGGGCCAGCGTATGTCTGGCTGTGGGCGTGCACGCATACATCTAGGTGACCCCGTTATCCTCCAGTACATAGGAAGACCCGTGTGTAGATCGTGCTGTTCTGCATTCTACAAGATGTCTGACAACACTTCCCGTGTCGTAGAGTCGCAGGAAGCCCACGCCGACGCCAGTCAAACATACCAGCAGCACCGGCTTGCCTCAGGACACGTGCAACTATGAACACGGATACTGCAATGCTGAGATAAAGTTCTGGCAACTACACATTCCTATAGTCAATGAAATCAGTCAACCGGTAAACAGTATGCGAGTCCGCATCTGTTGTTCCAGGGGCAAGGCTGGGAATAGATTTACAGGAGGAGTTCATGTATTTCAACCCCNNCCCCCCCCCCCCCCCCCCCACACCATAGGATTGCAGCTAGTCTGACTGAAGGCAACCGATCCGGGGCGCCATGTGGCAACCCCGACCCTACCCCTGAAGCCCACACTCAGCACCGCTGAGTCGGGGGCTGTCGGGCTGGTCATATGGGATTGAGGACTCTAAGCTCCGATGAGAGCCGCATAACAGTTTCATAACCGGAGCGGCCGCTGAAGTAAATTTCAGTATTTCTGACACAAGCATCCCCGATGAGGAGGGGAGGGTCGGGGTTGGTTGTTGTTCACACCTGCCACCGCGCAACTGCGCCTGCAGGAATTCTGAAGGTCTCACGAACTGCTGCCAAAACTCCATACAGGGTATGTTGCATATCACTACGGTCACCACAAACATACATGCATACACATATATACTCTATCTATCTATCTATCTATCTATCTATCTATCTATATATATTGTATATATATATATGTGTGTGTGAGTGTATGTGTGCATGCATGCATGTATGTATGTATGTATAATAGAAAACATATACAGAGAAGGGCAAACGGAGAGAGACCGGTAGCGGTGTCTTAGCAATTCGAGAAATTGAGTGTAGACTGACTGGTTCTGCACTGCCGGACTGGCATCATCACGAGGGTCCCACGACTACTTTAAAAGACATTTGGACGAGCGGCGGCCCCAAACATCACTGAGGCGTGGATAGAAGAACAGCGCCTTAGACCAATGCTCGTCCAACACAATTCCGAAAGGACATGCCACCTCGCAGTTTGCGTACAAGCAACCACGAGCATCCCAGTCGGGAAGGCTGAAGTGATCAAGCCGGTTTGAGAAGCACGGAGGTGGAAGTGTGCCCTCAGGGCTGGCAGGATGGGTCCTCGCGACAGAGCTCGGTCACCCATCTGTCAATTTGGACAATGAGTCCTTGCATGGTGAAGCCCAGCAAATGCAGAAAGTACACCTGACTTGGCAATATCGAAAGGGCAGATCCAAGCCACATTCCTAACCACTTCGTTTGCACTACCGAGGATTCAGGCAAGCTTCGCAAGGGATCAAAGTCCTCGGAGCACAGCGACGACCAACACTGTTACAAACGCACAGTACATGGGACGGTCACAAGGACACACACACACACACACCATGTGCGTACATACTTATGCCGTACATGACCACCGGCGGACCAGCCGGCAATTTTTGCGACCTGCCCCGATTGCTCTGCAGCTCCATGTTACTGCCGAGGGTTTGCCTACCCAGAACTCTGGGGAGATGGGGCTTGCCATATGCCCACATGCACGAGTCGGGCAAGCGTGAGAGGTGATGCTTTCGGCGTACATTAGCAGAGCAAGTCAGTAGTGCAAAAAGGGTGAATATGTCTAATATGTCATCTGGACGAGGGCGAAGCGAAAACGATTTCATGGACCATGAAAGCAATTGAGGCCGCAGTCGCAGAATAGAGCCAAGCTAAGCACACACAATCTCTGTGAGACAAAAGCGTTCGGTAAGCTACGATTGCTATTACCCGTCAACTCGCTACCCTGTGACCAGCCTCCGCCCTGCAAGTACAATCGTGCCATGATGCTTTGCCCGGTTGGCCAATCTATCTGTCGGCACGTCCCTGCTCCTGTCATGCCATGGACCACATGTGCTTCTGTGATGTCGAACCCTAGCACCAGCTGGCCTGCAAGTGCCAAGCCATCCACTGGGCGAATTGCGAGCTTTGCTCGGCACCCGCCACGGGACGAGTGGCAATCTCGGTGGTGAGCTCCAATAGCCGCTGCTCTGACCTGGCTCCGCAAACAAGCTTGACCGAAGGCTAGACGTCGTGCTGAGATCGCGGGGTTTGCCACTACCGACTGCAGTGCCTCCCTCTTCATCCAGTACCCGCACTCCAGCAGCGCCTCTCAGATCAACTTGGGAAGGATTGGGTGCATGTCCCAGCCCCGGGCCTCGCGATGGCCGCCTTGCTTGGGAGAGATCTGAATCTGCGCCCTCAGTGTCCGGACACGTAGCCTCTTGCCGCTCACGATCCTGACGGGTATTGTGGTCTGCCAGCAGCTTCTCCGTCGAATCTCCCAGGTTGACCAACGGGCTGTCGTCAATGTGCTTGAGTGTGAGTTCCCATCTATCATAAGATGCCACCAAGCTTGGTCGACTCTTGGGCATTTCGTCTGCTCGTTCGCCTTGCTGGCGCCTGCGCACTCCAAGCATTGCACCAGACACGAGCGCCAGGACCAGTTGCGTGGCCCCAGTGACTTGGTCAGTTTTGCTCGCAATCACTTCAACTCCGGCGTCAGCTATCCCATTCCCCATCTCGGACAGAATGCCAATTTCCTGCCACAGTACCGGTTCCAGTACGCTTCCGGCTACGGCTTGGTAAACACTCTCACATAGGATGCCATACAATCAGGACGGAGCTGCATATCCATGCCACATGAAGTCTTTCCGTGTGTCTCGCGCGCTTGGCTTGCTACCAGCGGATCATTACATAGAGGTCGAACCGCGCAATCGTTTTTCGTAAAGGCTCAGTAAACTAGATCGCTAATCGGCTATGCAGCTACGTGTTTGAACAACCGGTCCTGAAGCCCCTCGATGATGCTGATGTCCGGCGCGACGAAGTCCAGGCCGATGCCGAGCAAGCAAAGCACCGAGATGATCAGCAGAGCTCTAGAACGGGCCTCGTGCGTACAGCTCAAGGCACAGAGCGACTTGCAGGCTAGTCGGCAACCTGCCACGGCCGTTGAATCTGTTGAGTCTGGGCACCCTTCTCATGGCCGCTAGCCGCTAGTGGCTCTCCCGCTGTCGCGACATCGACAGCTCCTGAAAGTCAAGGGGGACTCGGAGGAAGAGCTGCAGGGCTTGGCTTGCTTTGTGAACGCCAGCTGGCCTGAGTCCTTGCCGTCACGCTTTTGGTGCTCGGGCTGAGGACATGGCGGACATGCATGTCTCTACATTCACTCCTATTCAATGGTCTTTTGCCGAGGGCGATCTGCAGTGGAAGAGAAAAGCTCAACCACTGACAGGTGCACTTCGTGAACCAGCTAAGTTCGTCATGCGGCTCTTGAAAACTAAAACAGCTGGCAGCACCGAAGAAGTCGCGGGTGCGATTGTCATTCTCATCCGGCTGTGAGATGCCGTCTCACTGTGCTGTGAGCAGCTGCCTAGCTCTTTTGGTTGAACCACAGGTTGTGCAACTCGATTGGAAGTGCACCGGCTCGAAGGTGTCGCATCTCGGCTGCCGGCTGAGGTGTTTCTGCTGTGCTTCTGCTGTGCTTCTGCTGTGCTGCGCTGCGCTCTGCTGCCATGCGTCTCCGGGCCTCCGCCATGTTTTCCGATTTCAGCTCGTTCTCCCTTGCCACAGCCTATCACGGGCTGCCAGGAGCCCTAAGCGTGACTTTCAGTCGTGGGAGGGGGGCGGCTTCCACGTATAGTCTCGTGTTTCTCCTGGCAGCCGAAGCTCAACTGAAAGTTTCAGCCCAGGAGGCGAAGGGCTCTGAAGCTTCAGCCTGGCCCTTGCCCTTGCCGCCCTTGCCCTTAGCCTTGCCCTTCCCTTTCCCCTTCCTGACAGGGGCCTTGCTGGCTACCTCTTCCCAGGGCGTCTGCATGGCCCTGGCAGCGGGGCAGGCACAGAAACTTTGGTCCAATTGCTCCATGGCCTGCATCTCACGTGGTGTCAGCCCTGGCCCACGGAGAGCTGCAATGTTGGCAAGGATGCGCTGTGGGTTCACGGACTTGGGGATGACGATGAAACCCTTCTGGAAGGCCCAGCGGATGCAGAGTGCGGCTTCAGAGCAGGCCTTCTCTTGAGCCTCAGCTGTCGCAACCGTGACTCAGTGGGGCTCTACCGGACTCTACCGGCTTTTTAGAAGCTCAGGGAGGGGCGAGCTGGGCCAACGGAGTGGCACCGAAGAGGCTGCCACGGGCCAGCGGCGAGTACGCCATCAACGCGATGCCTAACTCGTTGCAGAGGCTTTCCGTCTCCCGCTGTTGCCAAAAACAGTGCAGCTCGATCTGGTTGACCTGATGCATGGGATATCCTGGGATCGTTGAAATCCGAGTCCCCGGCTTTCAGCACTGGATCCCTGCCCTCCGGCCCTCCCCCCTTGCCTCCGGCAGTTCCCTGCCTGCCTGCTGCAGCGACATCAGCTGCTGGGCACCGAAGTTGGACACGCCGACAGCACGCGTCAGGCCGGCGTTGCGCAACTCGATCAGGGAATCCCAAGTCTCCAGCAAAAAACCACCCCGAGGGCTGTGAATCAGGAACAAATCAACGTAGTCCAGCTGCAGCCGTGACAGTGAAGTTTTCAAAGCAGCAGCTGCGTGGCTGCCCCCATGCTCTCGACTGTTGAGCTTCGTCACGATGAAGACCTCGTTCCTGTGGAGCCTTGCCTCTCGTAAGGCCTGTCCCACGTCGACCTCGTTGCCATAGGCCTGGGCTGTGTCAATGAGCCGGTAGCCGGCCCTCAATGCCTCGGCTACCGCTCTTTTGCACTCTCCACCACGCTGTGATTGCCAGGTGCCTAAGCCAAAACGAGGCATCTGAATCCCAGACCTCAGCTGTAATGTTGCATCGCTGTTGCGAACCTCCTCGCAAGGCACCTCCCACGTCTCGAGCGATTTGCCCGCGGGTTGCGATGCGTGAGCATTGTGGGCACCTCTCCAACCGCTGCGTCCGACTCGCCCGCCTTGCTTCGCTCGCTCTGATGCCTCATCCATGGCTGGCGCAGCAGTCTCGCCGGCTACTTCGGCTGCGTGGCCTCCTTCAGCACGCCGGTGCCGCGACCAGCGGTTCCCTACATGCGCCATGTCTGGCATTGGCGAAACAAAGGCTCCGAGCTTCCCATTTAAAATCTGGAAACTGCGCTTCCCAATTCTTCAGTGATTTTTGCAGCAGTATTATTCGACTATCAATGGGACAATCCAGGCGAGACGTCTGAGGAGCCTGATAGCTTCCGAGCGCCAACTGTACTTCGGAAGGGGACACGTGCGACTAGCCACGAGTCCATGGAGCTTTGCGGAGATGCAGCCGGTGCGACACGCGGCTTCTGAGGGTGCAGACATTTTTGCAGCCGGCTTTCTGAAGTCCCATACAGTATCACACGAACTCGTACACGCAAAGTTTGTGCTGAGCGAATACCATCAGACAGCAGAATGTGAGTGCTGAAGTTCATTCTATGATGCTGTTGGACGGTGGAGCTTGCAGGCTTTACAGGTTGACACCTCGGGACGACTGAATGAGAGCAATAGCAAGACTGATGAAACAAAAAAGCGGTATCAGCAGTAGTAGTAGTCGTAGTAGTAGTAGTAGTAGTAGTAGTTGTTGTTGTTGTTGTAGTTGTAGTTGTAGTTGTAGTTGTAGTTGTTGTAGTTGTAGTTGTAGTTGTAGTTGTAGTTGTAGTTGTAGTTGTAGTTGTTGCTGTTGCTGTTGCTGTTGCTGTTGCTGTTGCTGTTGCTGTTGCTGTTGCTGTTGCTGTTGTTGCTGTTGCTGT